TTTTCTTCAAGCATGTTCATTCGTACATTCGTCACTTCCCGAGGCCTGCGTGTCTTACTACGGGACGCGGGGCCTGATCAAAAAAGCTGCACGCACTATATTTTAATTACAGCTCATAGATTGTGTATGACATCGGCTCTRCGACTGGAGGGTGAAGTGGAAGTTGTCCAGCAGATGTCGCAGAGGACTAAAACGTCAAGTTTTATTGTAAATTACCTTAAATGCAAAACTTTCAATTATCATAGTGGCAGTCCATAATTGCCTTCTTGCCCATTGCTTTAGGTACTCAAATATATTTGTACATCTGTGTAAATGTACAGCGTTTTTTACAATCGAAAAATTTGCATTTTATTCCTAATGAGGGTTTTATTTCATTTTAATAAAAGCTGTACATAAATAAGATTTCTGAAAATTTCAGAAAAATCGAAAGTAAGGATGGGAAGAAAAAAACAAAAACACTAGAAATATTATTGTTGAATTTCCGCCTTTATAAGCCAACCACTTGTAAATAGCTAGTAAATTAAAGTACACGCATGAAAACTCTAGTTAAATTTCCGCTCTAGTTTTTCGAATCGAGCGAATATAAAGCTAAGCATACATAATTCGCTCTGAATTAGTTGGCTTCCACCTTTTGTAGCCGCTCGATTGCTATTCTTGAAAAGCCTTCCTAAAAATAACTAATTTTTGCCAACTGTCTCGTTTAGCCTATGGCTATTACAGCTGGCTTGTACCAATTTTCTGTATTTTTGTTCTTTAGCATTTTTGTAATTTTGCAATTTTGGTACTAAGTGAAGATTGTTTGATAAAGATTGATTGAACTCATGATCATTAATCTGGTTTTACACATCTTTTTCGTATGATAATAAGACAAAATTGCAATAAAAAACCTTTGCAATGCAATACAAAGTGTTAATGCTATATTATCCGACTGCTGTATATTTTACAGATTCAGTTGAAGTCACAAAGCATATCATTTTTCTCTTAAATAAAGCGGCTAATCATTAACCACAGACTTTAGACTGTTTAATTGAATGTGAAGATTTTTAAGGAGTACGAGTCCAAAGAATAATCACTCTCTGAAGAAAGCAATGAATTTACCGAGGACCCAATGAGGTCCATAATGATCAAATAACRATGCAGCCAACCTAACTTGCAGATGTTTCTATCAAGGCAAGAACGTAAATGTTACTGTAATTTTTAGATATATTTTTTCTACAACGGTTAAGCACAGTTACTAAATATATTTTTGTCGGTTGGGATGAAATACCACAGAAAAAAGCACGGTTAACAACAGTTAACAGCGATTTACACTATAATAAAAAGAATGAGCTCGAGGTTCAAATTTTTCTTATCGTGAATTGAGTGTTGACCGTTGTAAACCGTTGGAAAATCAATGCAATTTTGTTGTAAACCTTGTTGTAAACCTGTAAAACTGTCATTTATAGATTTTACACACTGAACAAGCAAAAAGCAATTGCGAGGTCAATTTCCCCAGACAGTACAGGACTAGTATTAGCCCTTCCGATCTTGAGGAAAAAAACTGGGCGGGTTTGTCATTACAGTGCATTTCAAGATGGCGCCTATTTCAAGATTCGTGGGTTTGATTCCCATCTGGAACAGTCAGAATTTTGAGTTTCCTGTCCTCGTACACATTTCCTTCATAATCATTTGAAGATTGGTTAAGCTATCGTAGCGAAAGTGCATGTGTTCGTGGCATGAATATGGCTTTGCTCTCCTTGTCAGTTCAAGCTAGTTTGGTATTTTAAAACTTTTGATAGTTTTGAAAAAAWTTTCGTTCTATTTAGGGAAGGAATCAATAGATGCATAAGAGTCATAGCTCGCTTGGGGATAAAATAATGATCTTTATTGACCATAAGAAAAAAAATAAGAAAGAGATTATGAATATAAAATAACAATTAAATATATGTACGAATTACTTATTTATCGATGAAAACATATTTGTAAAATAAATTAATAGCTCAAAACACGAGTCCAGCTCTTCACACTGACTATAATATTATATTAAAACTATATGTTTATTATTAAATTCTAAATAATTCTAAATTTCGGYTACATTGGCGTTAAGGTCAAAGTCATTCAAGAATTCATTGTCCTCATAAAAAGGGGTTCTTGTCCCCCTGACACACATGTGTACTGACTTCAAAAGCTAATCGAGTTCTAATCCATGTTATAGTACTTGCATACGTGTCCCCTGCCTTCTTGGTTAACTTCTCAGCAAGGTGCTTTAGAAAAATCTGGCATTCTGCCCCCATCGAGCGCGCTTAGTTGATGGTGATGTGATAACGTAGTGCTGAAACATTAAGAGTGTCAGAAAGGGAAGCCAATCTTCTGTGAGGGCCAATTGGTAGAATGAATCACTATCCTATTTCTAGCGGCCTATTCTTAGTCTAGTGATTGACTGAATATATTACGATATATTCCAGGATACGTCGACAAAAAGTGGTAAAGCATTACAAATGAATCATGCGAGTAGGAGTTAAATGGAACTCGTAATTTGGCAAATCTTTTGTATATCTTTGGGTCTTTTTGGTTTTCTTTTCCAGCAACTTCCCATAAATTGCTCATTTATTGATATAAGTCGTTAACGGCTTCTTTATCTTCTAGATATTGTTCAAAGATTTCCGCCAGTTGGCTAAGCAGAGGCCATTTCTAACTAGAATCTCAAAACCGGAAAAATAAATTCAATTAATAAACTAATTTCAGGAAATTCCTGCTTGTACGTCAGTACTATTTATTCGCGGTTAAAAGTCAACCGGTGGCTGAAAAACAGAAGTCATTTATGTCTGACTACAGTAACACCGTTGCCCAATCAGAAATTGAAAACGGGTTCGACTTCCCGGACGACATGGCACAAGCCCAAACAAGTCCCCACACTGATGATATATCACRATTGCATTTTCTAGACAATGTCGGCGCCAGAGATTTAATACCGGAAACGTTAATCATATATTTCTTAAGATACTGATAAGATTTTTGAAAAATCAACCTTTAAATCAATTCTCTTACTTTATATCGGGATAAACTTTAGTGTCACTTTAGTTAAAGGGGTGAAGAGGGTTGGGGATTAACTCCAATACGCGCTACCCCAAATGTCACAGAGTTTCAGCATTTTTGCCATAAAAGTATATATCTTTTCTGATACCTAGATACACGTAGTTTTCGAATGTTTATTCGAAATAGTGGTATTAGCTAGTCCAAATATCCGAATAAACGTGTTTTTCTTGTTATTTTTAGAGGCAAGACAATCTCAGTAATTCATACATATTGTTTCACATTGAACCAAAGCTTTGGAAGCTTATACAAACCCATTGTTTTCGATAAACAAAAGAGAGTCTGCAATATTGGATTTTGAAACCGTTTTCATCCTAAACTCTTTTATCCAAATT